TATATATATATATATATATGTGTGTGTGTGTGTGTGTGTGAGCTCAGCTCTTCTTGTGTTTTGCTTAAAATCTTTTCAAAAAAAATTGAGCAAACTTAAAAATTTTCTCAATAATTTTTTTATCTGGAATCTTGTTGAAAGTGACAGTCATATTACAGAATCCAACATGAATACATGCACGAAAGAAGTAGCCTCGTTATGGTAGAAAGGTATTTCTTTGAGTTTTTTCTTTCATCGCTCCTTTTGTGAGCTTTAAAATTCTCCCACGTTAGCCTCTGAAGCCATAATTTTTCCTGTATTATCCTTTGTTTTTGTTTTTTATTCTGGCACTGTCCTGAAGACATCTTTCTCCATTTGTATCTTACCTTGCACATCAGTCCGCCTTATGCAAACGTTAATAGTGCTGCAGGCTTGCTCTTCTTCTACTATTTTATCTATCAGATATACTTACAAGGGATGGCATCACCCACGTTTGGAACTGCTCAATTTAGTAACTTTTTGTATTTAACGATTTGTTTGTCTCATTGTTAATACAGCCTAAAAGCCCATGTGTCTTTATGTCACTCTCGACGTATTTCTTTTGATTAGGTCTTTGTAAAACCAAACGCGCAGCAGAAACCTTGTTTCCTTTTATGATTTTTGTTGTTATTGGCTCCAAGTAGCATAGAGGAAGAAGGAGGAGTGGTCAGTCTTTTCAGCTTGCGTGTGCTATTGCTGCTTGGAAAAATAGTTTTTTTATAAAAATTTTTTTTTGTAAAATAAAGTTTTTTCACAAATAGTTTTTTATAAAATTTCAGTTTTACAACAAAAAAAAAACAGCTTCCGCCAGGCAGTCTCCAAAAACTTGTTGCACATCACTGGGCAGGTTGTGGGTACGAACTGAAGGTAAGCAGCCCAAAATTGAAGGAGCTATAAAAGCTGCTCGAAGTCTGGGAGCATCCCAGTAACATTATCAACATTGAATATTGACACTGATGGCCAGGTGGTTTTGGTATTCCTGGTACAGCTTCTGTGTTATTTTGTTCTCTCGGGACTGTGATGTTTCGGTTTTTGTATGCGTACTATTTGTGTATTGTTTGTCTCGTCATTGATGCTCCAACACTGCTGCAACACGCTTTGGCTTTTTTGATGGTGCATGGAGACTAGGCCACTAATCGGTTCGCATAATGATAGGCCTCGGAACGAAGACACATCAACAAAGAAAAGATTTTTTAACAAAGAAAAGAAATGGTACGAAGCAGGAATTTGAATTTTTGAGAGTATGAACAAAAAAAATTCAAGCAGGAGTCTGAATTTTTTTGAGGATTGTTTTGAAACAGCTGTGAGTGTTTTGAAACATCTTCAGTTTTTAGTGTCAACAAGAAATTCAGGGTGATTTGGGCATTTAACCTCAACCTCTTTGTATCCTACATATTTTACCGCAATTTTGAAACAGCTTTTTGAGGAGTTAGCATTTTGCCGCTATTCCCTTAAGATAACTGCTTTTTATAACTCGCAGTGCTTTTGCCAAAATCCGTGCTGACTGTGAATGCACTAGACTCCAAAATACATCAGAGTAAGGAACACTAAAAGCTTTTTTTGTTTATTTTCGCATAACTGCGTGGAGAGCAACAGATTTTGCAAGTCTTCTCAGTTTCTAAGTTCCATCTTCACGAAAGCAATTAGAACCTCATCAAATTCACGCGTTTACCGTCCTCATTTTTTTGTCATTTAATTTTTATGCGAGCCGATTTGTTTTATTCCAATGGACGAAACTTTGCGGCTATGGCTAAAGCAAATAATTGCGATCGGCTGATGATAAACTTGAGCTGAGGCCTATAGCGTTGCTTCACACGGACTATCTTGCTTGGTTTTCGCTGTTTATGTTTTGTCATAAATAGAGTAGCTGCTGGTTTTTTTTTCAAATTTTAGGAACATATCTGTGAGGCCAAACGTGGATGTGTACGCTTATCGCGGGCCATCATATCGCTGAGCATGAATATTGGTGGGGAAGTTGTGTTGTGCTGTATATGCTTATCGTGTTGTTCCGCATTCCTCAAGTAGCCGCTATTTCCAACGAGAATGAAGCGAACAGCGACTTCACTACAGCAGCAGCACCACCACCATCGGAATCTAATCGCTCACTGCTTATCTATATGTGTAATGTTATGTGTTGTGATTGTGGTCTCTGTCAGTAAACAGCATTCAGAGTACCCTGTGGTTCCGTTCCGTTGACGCCTCTTCCAGCACCTCAGTTAAACCTGGAATACGAACCCTCTCCAGCCACAACAGCAGTTGTTTAATGGCACTTCACACATCGCCTTCACAAACGAGTGCAATGTTCATAAACGGATGCTTTCACCTTTTTTTCGGTTTTCAGCTTATTTTCATCAATTTTTTCTTAAAAAGGAGGAAAAAATTATAGCGCGAGCCTACCGGTTTTTTTAAAAAAATTTAACTTGCTTTTGTGTGTGTGTTAGTTGTGTGTGGCTTTCATGAGCCTTTATTGCACTAATAAAATGATTTTTTTTAATTGCTAATCATGTTTTCATCCTAGAGATAAGCTTCCATTTTTTTTGTTATCATTAAATTCCAGTAACTTTAAGAGTATGTGTTTGTGGAGTGAATGTGGAGAGGGTTTTGTCTATAACTGGAGAATTCGTAAAAAACTTCGCCTTTCTGTTTTTCATGAATTCTTGCGGCGAATATTTGTTTTTTCCTTTTATTTTTTCCTCAAATTTTTTTGCCCTAGAAAAATTCGCTCAAAGAGTTTTTGTGACTCATTGTTGAGGATCTAAACAACTCTTTCTCGTTTCTTTTCTTCGCAGTAGCAATGCAGTCATGCTTTTTAATCGCACAAGCTTTCGTGGCTTATTTAAAAGTGTATTTTGCCTTGTAGATGTTGCCATTACTCGGGTATAGCGATGCGCTAAACAAACGTGTCATCTGCTTTAATCCGTGCGAGCTTTGTTATGTTGTTTTTACCAAAGGCAAATATGAGTAATGGATCATTACATAAAGCTGTGAGATGATCTTTCCCTCTTTCCAGTTTTACCGAAACGGCCTAGACAATCATTCTGGGGAATTCAATTTAGTGATGTTACTTATTGGAGCATCCTATAAACCTCAGCTGGGCTCTTCGATCCTGAACTGCATGCCTTTAGCTAGCATCAACCACGTATTCATCGGACACCTTTAACTTTTTTTGCGCCCAAATTTTCAGCGCAGTTTTTTTTTTCAAAACTTCAACGGCCCGTGCACATCCAGTAAATTTGACAAGTTTATTGAGCTTGCAGCAAGTTCATCCTGTCTGTGACACTGAACACACCAACTATCTGCGTAATCGGGGCGTTCAAGCATCACTAGCTGAAGCATCACTATTCTCGTTGAGCTGTTTTCATCATATCCGATATTCGTATTATTGGATTTCTTTTGCTGCACTGTCTTTTTGTCTTATTTGCCAAACATTTTTCTTTTGTTTCACTGTACGTCACATCACATTTATGGTCCTCAATTTACCGCAATAATCGCACTCCACGCTGCTGGCACGCATTTATGTGAAATATTTGTGCGCACAGTTACATTTATGCCAGGATGCATTCGCGCCACAAGCTCCTTTTGTCCTCTTTAGCGCATGTACATCACAGTGCAATCAAGATATCTCGCATAGAACTTCTTATAGATAATCACTGACATTTTAATGTAAATGAAATCCGAAAAAGCAGCCTTTCTAGGATTGGCTGGAATTGAAGCTATCTCTAGGATTGTTTTTT